AGGTAGCTGTACCAAATATAAGCTATTTTTCACATTATGCCACTGTACACACCAGTGATTTATATTCAGGAATAAAAGGTGATTGTTCATGTACAACTAACAAAGTATGTATGGAAGGAGTGTGTGTATCAAATGGGGAATGTGCAGAAACAACTTTACACTGGCAGGTATACACAAAGAGCTGTCTTCATAGTTTGGATCTCAATGTCAATCACATCATTCTATTCCATGACCTGATCTGCGTAAACATTTGCCATGTAAATTATCCTTCTCACCAGGGCCAGCTATGCCATTACACAATGTGAGACAGCCACCTCAGACAGCAAATCTGGGGTTTCACAAAAGGGCATCCAGTTATCAGATGTTCATGATTATTGTATTTCAATGGCAGGAATGGAATTTTCTTCCTCATTTGCAAAAAACAAAACAAAAACTTCCCTGCCTTTAGGCAATATGGTCAGAGGTGCCTATCTTAAACAGACTCCATTTGCTCACATTCAATCTTCATAGTTATTTATTTATTTAATTTATATGCCGCAAACTCTACCCAGAGGTCTCTGGGCGGCTTATGTGCTGTCAAAGTCAGGATTAGCTTAGAGAGACTTTAATAAAGTTTTTAAGGTAAATAGGATATTTACCTAGTAGTTTTAATAGCTCCACCCTCTGTCATGTTTCCATGGCTAAGCAGGGATCTGAACACATCTTTCCTGAGCCCTAGTCTCAGTTTTTATAACTTGAGCTTACAGTTCCAGTATTTTTACTGGGTTTTTTTTCAATACTTAAATTCAGAATACAGTGATGCCTCGATTTATGACCATAATCCGTTCCAGAAGATGGACATAACTCGAAATGGGTGTAAGTCGAAGCACCATTTCCCATAGGAATGCATTTAAATGCGATTAATCCATTCCGGCTGAAGAAAATAATCACCAAAAGAAAAATGACTGCAAGACTCATTGGAAATACGATTAATCCCTTCTGGCTGAAGGGGGGGAAAGAAAAGCAATAAAGCATGCAAGATCCCATCGGAAATGCACAGAAAACAAACGACGCAGATCGGAAATGCACAGAGAACAAAGGGACCAGATCGGAAATGCAAAGAAAAGAAAGGAAAACGCAAAGGAAGCATGCAAGACCCATCAGAAATGGGGGGAAAGCCAAAACAAACAAACCCCAAAACCCATCAGAAATGGAGGAACCCCCAAAAAGCAACCAACCCCCCAAAGACCCATAGGAAATGTTGGGGGGGGAGCCAAAAACCAAACAAACCCCCAAGACCCATGAGAAATGGAAAAAACACTCCAAAAAGCAACCAAACCTCCCCAAGACTCATCAGAAATGGGGGGGAAAAAAACAAAAAACAAAGAAACTCCCCAAGACCCATCAAAGCACAGAAACATAACTCCCCCAGCCCAAAACCATGCTGCAAAAACACCCAGAACAGTTTTTAAAAAGCAGACAACAGCACCTTACCTTACCAGGCAGTCCCAAGCCTCCTTGCAATCACCCACACATGCTCACTCAGAAGCGAGGCAGTCCCAAGCCTCCTCCCATCCCACACTCTCTGGGGCGAAAGAGCTACAAAGCAGCAGCCTCGTCGCCACCTACAGGTGGCAATTTGAATTTTCTGCCTTTTTCTGTTGGTAAGTGGAAGGTCCGGTCACAAGTAGAAGCAACATTTTACAGCCGGAGCTGATTGAAACTCGAAATAGTCGTAAGTAGGGACGGTCGTAAGTTGAGGCTGAAACTCGAAATAGTCGTAAGTAGGGACAGTCGTAAGTTGAGGCACCCTGTATAATGTTGAATGCCCTTGAAATTTTTGTCATTGTATTGCTCCTTTTGTATTTATAAGAGAAATTAACCTTTTTCTACACTCTCAATACCTGAAGCTCACAGCAGACACAACGTTATAACAACAAATCATATTCTCAGCTTCCCCCAAAGCATATAGGGCCCTCTAAGAAGGAACCTCCCTCACTACCTATCTAGGATACACTGTGATGCTAAAACGAAAAACTTGCAGGTTGAGAGCCCAACTGAGGAAATGAAAAAAGCAAATCTGTAGCAGAGACAGCCTATCTCCATTGTGTATTTACTATAATTTTAACACAGCATTTTGCTACCATGTAAAATGTAACTGTTCCAGCATAGGGCAAGTTGTAGCTGTAGCAACCAATCATAGCAGCATATTCAGCAGGAATACAGAAATAAACATATGAAGTCACAAATTAGGATGCTCACACAACATAGCTTTGAAAAACCATACGATATTGCAAATTCACAAACATCAGTTTTAAGAATCTGCATTACCACCTGAAATACAGCACATGTTATTAGCAGTGCTCTGCCAGAGGTTTTAAAACTTATTGGTGTTGCTGCCATTAGACTAAGATGTTCATCCAAGGTTGGTATAAACTGAAAGATGTTCAGCAGTTCTTATCAGCCTGCAGAAACAGGACTACACAGGCATTTTGCATAACACACTCAGGAATGCACAATAATATGTTTTAGTACCATTCACAATAATGCATCACAGATGTTACACACAATAGCTGATAGGGTACACCCAACAGCCATAAGAAGCCTTGAATAGCTAACCATGTTTCAACCGCTGAGGTCAACTGTTGAGCAGAAAAGACAAACAAAACATTTTCAATCTTGCCCAAATATCAACAGCATCATCTATAACAACCCTAATTGTGACTGTTAATCAAGCATCCATGGTACTCCTGCATGTTATATTCCTACTACAGTGGGGTCTTGACTTACGAACGGCCCGAGTTACGAACATTTTGACTTACGAACCACTCTCATAGGAAAATATTGACTTGACTTACGTACTTAGATTTGAGTTACGAACTGAAAAAAACCACCTGGGAGGCAGGGAAAGTGCAAAATTTGAACTTTCAGTTAACTGTTGGCCAGTGAAAAGGGCGCCTGTCTGCTTCCTCCCTCCTCCCAGCGTTTAGAGAGTGGATTGGGAGACAGTCTTCGGACTGCCTGGTACTGCCTGGACTGTATTTTCCCTGCCTTCCCTGAACCTTTCTTGACCTAAGAAAAAAAGAAACAAAATATCCCCCTCTAGTGGTCGAAGGCCGAATAGCAGCTTCCCATTAGTTTCTATGGACGGAAAAGAGCAGATACGGATCAAATGGTTTTCAATGCATTCCTATGGGAAATGCAGATTTGACCTGCAAACTTTTTGACTTGAGAACCGCCTTCCAATACGGATTAAGTTCTCAAGTCAAGACCCCACTGTACCTGCTTTGATTCTTTTCAGGCAGCACCCTTTACATACCTGGTCTCATTTTTAAATACTTCACAAGATCATTTAGCATGATCCCAAAAAGATGGATAGTTATAGCTAGCAAATACCAGACAATGGTCAAAAAGCCACAGTGAATAAACTATGTGACACAAATGGAAAGGGTTAAAGGAAAACAAAAAACATGCACTGTTATAAGACTGACACCACAGCCTTGTGGCACCTTAGTAAAGGTAAAGGTTCCCCTTGACAATTTTTGTCCAGTCGTGTCCGACTCTAGGGGGCGGCGCTCATCCCGCTCTTCAAGCCATAGAGCCAGCGTTTGTCCGAAGACAATCTCTCCGTGGTCACACGGCCAGTGTGATTTAGACACGGAACGCTGTTTACCTTCCCACCAAGGTGGTCCCTATTTATCTACTCGCATTTGCATGCTTTCGAACCGCTAGGTTGGCGGGAGCTGGGACAAGCGACGGGTGCTCATTCCGTTGCGTGGATTCGATCTTATGACTGCTGGATCTTCTGACCCTGCAACACAGGCTTCTGCGGTTTAGCCCACAGCGCCACCACGTCCCTTTGTGGCACCTTAAAGGATACCAAATATGCTCTGGCACAAATTTCATTGTTCATTATCCACAACATCTTACCTCATAACAAAGGTTAGCCATTAAAGCATCACAAACTTATTTTTGCCTTAAGATGCTAACATGGCAAGTCCTCCAAAATAATTTCTGTACCTGGATTAACTATGCTTTACACTGTGAATTTCACACCGTTTACTCACAGTAAATTAACAAACAGCACAGGTCTTTCACAATTACCTCCAGCAGCTCACCTCCAAATTAATGGAGCACATCCTGCTCTAATCCCAAATTGCATGTCATCCACTCGATCTTCTAATGCCCATGGGAATTTTAGTCATGGTGGTTAGTATGCTGTGTGTTTAAATGGTGCACTAATTTCTCTAATAGTGGGTTCAAGCACCTTCTTCCTGCCATTTAGGAAAATCTATTCAGTGAAAACCAAGATAAGTAGCTGGCCAAAAGAGTTATATTTTCAGTGAACTTTAGGAAAAGCTCCCTTTCATATCTGAAAAACTAGTGGCCCTCAAAACAAGCTGGGCAGAAAGAACAGAGAAGGAAGATAGAGGAAAGTGGTGGGGGAAAGAGGCATACAGTACAGGCGACACTAAGAAGCACTTTCCTTGGCCAAACGCCACTTCCCTGGGTGGGAGGCAGGGCAGGCAGCTGAGAGGCGCAAACGTGGAGTACCAAAAGTTACTGGAGACCGTTGAACCGCCGGAAGTGGCGCGAGGCACAGGAGCGCGCGAGAGGCGGCCCCGCATTCATCTCTCCCATCCCGTTCTTCCCCCTCCCCCTCCCCCTCCTGGGGACAAGCCGTGGCGCGCGGCCACTGCGCGCACACACCAGAACCTCCCTGGCCTAGGAAACCGCTACCGGGCGGGAGAAAGAAAAGCAGCCGAGGCAATGCAAACCGCCAGCCCCGGGGAGGGGGGAAGAGAGGTTGAAACTGCACCGCCGCCGCCGCCGCCGCCGCCTCTTTCCCTCGGCACAAAAGGCATCCTCTGCCCGTTTCCGTCTCTCTCGCTCTCTCTCTCCACAGGTAAGGGAGCAGTTAAACAAAAAGCCGAAAGGAAGACGCGGGAGGCGATGCGGAGGAGCAGGTGGAAGCTGAGCAAGGGTGCCCTGGCGAGAGGGGAGTGTCACGGCCGGCTCACCTGCTTGCCCCGGTAGAAAAGGCGCTGCCGGTCGGGGCTCACGCGGAAGCTCTCCTGGATCTTCTCGCGCAGACTCTCGATCTTGGTGAGGCGGCTTAGGTCGTCGATGGTCTGGGTTTGGGCGCCGTCGATGGTGCGGACTTGGATCCACATGGCGCGCTCCCAGCTCCCGGGAGAGGAGAGAAGGGGCGGGAGAGGCGCTGCCCGCCTCGGGTTTTTCGCAGCTTATTACGGTGGAGGGAATAAGAAGAGATGGAAGGGGAGACTCTTCCCTTAACCCCGAGGGCCACCGCAAGGCTCCTCAACGGCCGGCTGGCCTTCCTCCTCTCCCTCCTTCCCTCCACCACTGCTCCACCAGCCAGCGAACCAGCTACTTCGGTTCCACCTCCGCCCGTTCCCTCCTTCCCGCCCGACCAAACCTCGTCAATGGCTCGATATAGCTTACTTCAAATGGCGGCAAACCCTGTCCGGGCTGCCCGGCAAAGCGAATCTAACGGGTGCCGGCGGGAGCCATGTCCTAACCCTGAGGACTGTTTACCAGCCGCTGCTACTCTCACATGGAGGTCACGGCGCCAACGCTGATCTCGCGAGACAAACACAGAAACAATCTCTTCTCTTTCTCCCCCCCTTGCGCGCGCGCTCCCCACACGTCCCCTCAACCCCTACCGCCTCGGCCTGAAAGAAACAACAACAGAGAGTGAGACCGCGCGAGGAGGGGGGGAGGAGGAGGGGAGGGGCCTGACGTGCTCGGTCCGTCTGCGCGCCTCTCTAAAGTAGCCTTGGTTTCAGGCCACGCCCTCGCTCGCCTCCCTCCCTCGAGGCGCCAGATCAGAGATGCGATGTTTTTGTTGATTTGGTTTGCCTGGCGGGGCGGGAGGTCTTGGAAGTCCCGGCCGGCCCCTTCTCTTTGCCAGAATGGTCCGTTCTGTGGGCTGCTGCAGTCGAGCTTCTTGGCTGCTGGATTCCAAACCTCTTTACACAATCCTATGGATTTCCATGGAGCTTCTGGAGATTAGGAGGGGTAGCCAAGCACCGGTAGACCGAAGTAAGCAGGGTTCACTCCAGTTCCAAGTAGGTGTGCGCACCTTGTTAATGCTACATATATTTACTTGGGAGAAAGTCTTTTACAATAATGGGACGTAACCTCCATTAAATCCTAATTTGATCCTGGAGAATTATAATCTTCCTCAGGAATCACAGCTACTACCAAATCGGATCATATGTGCGCCAATGGACTATATACAGTAAAAACAGATTTCTCCGTTGCCATTGCTGCCATGGCATGACACACAAAAACACACCCTAAGATCCTTTAATTTCTATGCTGGATATCACTACCATTTTAATCACACATATCGTGTCTGAGTCTACCTATTTGCGTATAACACTGTAAAAATTTGCTGCAGAGTGCATCTCAAGAATGAATATTCTGCATTTTGTAACAGCTCCTGAAATCCAGTCAGATCACTTTATCTTTATCTTTCTGCTGCATTATTAAAAAGCAAGTTTAATCATTTTGAATTTTCTGAAATTCACTGGCAATTCACAGCTGGAATCCATCTCCACAGCACCAGTTTGATCAGATGCTGGAGATGCCATGTTCCAAAAACAGATCTTCTGTCTTTTATTTGTACTTCTGACTTCTTAAAGACATTATGCTGCAAAAATATGCATACAAGGAATGAACCTTCGCATTGAATGTACAAAGATTTGAAGAGTCGCCCGCTTGCACAAAAACATTGGAATAAAGTCTGTGTTTATCTCCCATCCCTTCCATTTTAAGGTTTCACATGAACCAGAAAAGGCCAGGCTTTATTTTCTATTCTGTGAGAGATATTAAACTAAGGACTAAAAAGACAGGATTGAACATGGATAGTTATGCAAACATCTCTTGACAATGTTGCAGTAGCATTCAACCAATAGGCAAAAATATGAGATTAAGCAACAGCAGTTCCACAAATGTCTTTTTGCGATGCTTGAGCAACATGTTAAAGATTTTCTATCCTCCACCATCTCCATTTCTGTAATGCTTATCTTAGAATGTATTTTAAGTTCTGATAGAACGTAATGAATTTGTTTCTAGAGAGCAGAAAGGGGGGCAAATAAACTTACGTTTCTGCAACAGTGGCTCTCTATGTTATCCTACCCCTTTCTGGTTAGTCCTATCACCCGTACTCTCCTGTTTTGACTTGATTATTGTTTGAGTATAATGCACATAACTATTTTTATAGGAACCCTGGTTATTAAATTATATTTAAATTAGCTTGCTGGATAGTTCATTGAGTTGGGTACTTGGCTGTGGAGCCAGAGGTTCCCCACTGTGTCTTGTAAGAGAGGAGCCAGCCTGCTTAGCCTTGGGCAAGCTGCACTATCCCAGAGTGTCTCCAGAAGAAAGGAATGACAAACCACTTTTGAGTACTGTGTATCTAGAAAACCCTGGAAGGGGTTGTCATAAGCTGGAATTGCACAAATGGCATGTAATTATTTTTATGTTAAAATACATGGATCTTGTATTTTTCTAATTCACAGAATTGGCCCTCCTACATGCTTCAAGATAACATTGCCTTTAAGCACTCCAGAAGTGAAGGCAAGGGTCAAATCAAACACTAAGGGATATACAGTGGGGCCTCGATTTACGAATGTCCCTACGTACAAAAATTTCAAGTTACAAAAAGCTCCAGCTGCAAAATTTTGCTTCGACTTGCCGCCAGAGCTTCCAGTTACAAACAGAAAAAGGCGGAGAATTCAAAGTGAGGCTGCTGCTTCGCCCCAATGGTTAGGAAAAGGGAGGCTCGGCCTCCCGGGCTTCCAACTCCGCCCCAACCGCCACGCCGGGTGCCGGTGCTTTGGAAGCCCAGGAAGCTGGCACACGGAGCAGAGGTCGGGGCGGCTTTTGGCTTCCCGGGCTTCCAAAGCTGCCCCCACAGTTCTCTGCCTCCCGTCCCTGTGGGGACAGGAGGCAGAGGGCAGCGGGGACAGGAGGGAGAGTGCAGCGGGTGCAGCTTTCAAAGCCCGGGATATTTTTTCTTTGATTGGAATGGATTAATCAGTTTTCAATGCATTCCTATGGGAAATGGTGCTTCGACTTACGAAATTTTCGAGTAATGGCCACCAGTCCAATACGGATTAATTTCATAAGTCGAGGCACCACTGTATGCATTTCATGCTATTTTTACATTTTTCCTCCAGATACGCAGTTCCCTCAAAGTACTGTGTCTGAACGGATTTGCCAATTAACCTTGTAATGACTAATCACAAAACAAAATACACCACAATTTGTAAAATGTGAAGTCAGTCACGCGTCCCTAGTGAGATGTAGTGGAAAGAGTGATGAACTGGGACTCAGCAGGCCTAGGTTTGAATTCCTGATCACCCCCCCACCTTTTCCCCCATTTAGTGCCTAACAATTATTTGAGATTTGTGTCCCTTCCTTCCTGCCTTCGCTTCTAAGCTCAGCTAAGGCTTTGGGCCTTGTGTGGTTGTGTGGGGGCTCCAGATGCCCTGCTCTATCTCCTTATTCAGGCACCAGAAGAGGAGGTGGGGCAGGGAAGCCCATGGTGCTGCTTCTGATTAGGCAACTGGAAGGAGGCAAGATGGGGCATCCATCGCACCCACACAGTGCTTGGGCACTAAACTGGGAAAAGGTAGGTGGAGGGTGGAAAAAGAAAGGAGACAGCAAGGGGGGGGTCAGTACTTATTTCTCTTTTTCATTCCCCTTTTGGAAGATTCTGCATCACACTAGCATCCAACCCAGGTCCCACCGATCCCTTTGCCTATGGGGCACCGAAGGAGCTTGTTAGCCAAGCAGCAGAGGGGAGGGCCAGCCTGAGGAGATTCCCCTCCCTCCCAGTCAATGTGAAAGTTTACTATAGGGCAGGAGAGAGGAGAGGATACTCCTGCAGGTCCCCTTCTCCCCCCCAACTACAGCCTGTATCATGTACTCATCCTCCCATGTTCTACCCTCTTTAGTGGTACCTCAGCCAAAGCTGATTAGAGGGTAGGTAGCATGAAGGCTCCCATGAGTCCAGAAGGGGTGGTGGTATGAGGCCTGGGTTTCTACAAGGAGGGGGATCCCATCCTCTCACCAGTTGAGGGGGGCAGGGTAGGGTAACTCCCTAGGATCTGTGGCCCTGCCTTCATCCTGGCCTCAGTTTCTCTTGATGCCTGACTGCATTCTTCCCTCTGCTTGCCTTCCCTTCCCTTCTCCCTCCTCTAGATGTCTTTCTCTTTCCTTCCTTCTTCACCTCCTTTAAATAAATGTTCTAAACATTTTCTTACTTTTTTGCTTCCCCCTTCCTTCTCTCCCGATCACCCAAACTATTAGGAGAGCCACAGCCCGTGTCTATGAGTCAAAAAAGTTTGGGAACCACTGTGTAAAACCATTCTGCAGTCCCCAACCTTTTTCAGTCCGCGGACGAGCATGCACACGCCCTTGAAAGCACCATACTGCCATTTGTCCATGTGCGCAAGCGCACATGCACAAACGGTGGCACGGTGCTTGTCTGGACACGCCCGTGCTCATGCGCAAATGGCAGCGCAGCGCTCGCATGGGCATGATGGAGCACATGCAGGTGGAAATGGGCTGTACGAGGTGAGTGTGTGCGGTGGTTGGGGCGGGAGGTCTGTCTCGGTGGCCCGGTCCAGCTCAGGCCACGGACCAGCACCGGGCCGCGGACTGGAGCTTGGGGACCTCTGCATTAGATAACTCATCGTGGAGGCCTTATTAAGGAGACATAAGGTATGCCAATCTCAACTTGACAGCACATAACAACAATAAAGAGATAAATAAACTTACGCTTAAATAATCAGACTTCCTTTATCACTTTGGGGGAATCCATCTCTAATGACAGACGAACTATATCATGTTTAGGTTTCAATGAAAGCAGTTGCTGGATGTTCATTATATCCAAAAAGGACCAAATATAATGAGAAGTTGCAGCAAAGTGGTCTCCAAAATCACACAAGACCAGGCTAGTTTTATGGACCTTGGGAACTGCTGAACGGAAATAGCCAAAGCAGTAACAAACTCAACTTAAATATGCATAGATCTTTGCATTTTAAAAAAATCCCATGGTCAGTGATACAGCCGACTACAATAAACTCTTTCAGTGATGGTGAGAAACAAATTTAGTGCCACTTCTGCCAATACAGTGTCACTCAACTTGTTATTAAGCATATTTAGGGTATTTTTCTGCTCCCTTAGATTGAGTCACTGGAAATTGCCTATGTAAAGCTAAAATCAAATCCTTCATTAGTTTTGCTGGAACACTGCAACCGAATCCTAAATTAAGTTGAAGGTGATAGTAATCTTCCATTAGTTTCAGCTGAGAATTAGTATTACATCTGTATCAAGATTTGGTAGAAAAGTTCATTTAAAATCAGCGGAGCATTTCCAAGGCATCCAACTTGACTAGGGATTTGATAAAAATCCTTCTTTGAAAGCACTGGAGCATTTCGTTTGAACCTTCAAATGCAATAAATCTACAGGTCATCTCTTTTCACTTCCACAGTTGGCTTGTTACTCCAGAGTTTTGCATTTCATTTTATTATTTGTCCAGTCAAGCATACAACCTCTTATGAATTAACTTTTTCTCTGCAAGTTTTTCAGTTTTTTCCCAGTAACCTGTTGGCTGATTCTGCAGATGAGAGTCAATTCATAGTTCAGCACACTGGAAATGAGCAGCAGCAAGCAGCCGTGAGTCTTGGCCACATGTACATGAAGCAGCAAGACCAAATCTCTATCCAGGTGAGCAAAATGGAGAGGTCTGTAGGTGTGGGTCTGTGACCTGAACCTCCCAGGGTTCTTTAGGAGAATTCTGGGAACTGGAGTCCAGCAAATCCAAATGCCTGGTGGCAAGATTGAGAGGCAGAATTGTAGCATTTGTGAATGACAGCTATAATAACAATGG